GGATCTTACTAAATAATGCATTCATGTGCCTTGATTTATAATGTTAATAATTTATATGATTGGAGGGGAATACGACAAGAAGGGTAATATGTTCTCAGCCATCTTAGAAAAGCATAAAAATAGATGATTATAGAAGAATAGAAAATGGATTGACACTGAAATAGAGAGGGGAGTACCAGTCGTGTATGAAGTACTCGGATTCTTTATTGAAGTAAAAGTAGAAATAACACAGTGCACAAATACTGTAGCATGCAGTAATAGAGTTCTTGATGTTTTGAGCCATGAGAGCAGCATTGTTCTATACATTCTGGGTTTGACAGTCTGCCTGAGCTTCATGGTTTTTATTCATCACATACACAGTTACAACTTGTAGTGAAACGTAAACCTGGCCTACTCCATAGACAGTGCAAATAAATAGACAACAATGTGACAACAAGAGAGAGAGCAAAAGAAACTAACCAGTGAATAAAAGGCATATGTACAATAGAAATGTGTGAATTTGTTATTTGGAAGTAACAACAGAAAGAATATGGTACAGTAAAATTATGGCAGTATTGGTCGGTTCATTTCTTTTGTCCAGTTTGGAAGGAAAACTCATCGACTATGGGCTGGATTTGAGCCAGGTACACTTGCAGACTTTCATTTTAATTAACCACTGATGAAATACATAGACACCAGTTACTCCTTGACCAAGCAAAGCTCTAAGTGAGCAGACTGCCCTGACTGAAACTGACCTGCCTGAAAGAAAAACACCAGAGGTCAGGGGCTCCTCTCTCTGCTGTGAGATTAATGTGGGCACAGGGTGATCACCCAGAAGAGGCAGTCGTCAGAGTGGCCAGACAGGCACGTTTACACACAGGTTAAACACACAAATAAATATATATACAGCACACTGGCAGGCAATCACAAACCCGTCCAAGTAATTTCACAACTTCTATTTTACCTCTTTGTGACTGTGATTTTATCATACCCTGATACAAGTAGTTCAATTTACTTTTGTGGTATTTAGTCAGATTACATTCTTGTCTTCAGCTAGGCAGATGGTGATATCAATCACACATCGCAGTTGTTTCTCTTATAGAATCTCTGAAATAAGACAACCTTCTACTGACAGGCTACAAAAGCTTCTGGCTAAAGCAGAACTGAGCAGTGGTCACTGTGAATAAAAGAAGCTCAGATTGATTGAGACTCATTGATTCTGCTGATATACATTACAATAGAGTGAGCATGTAGAGAGGCAGCTCTAATGATAGTACGGCACATGCAGAGACCATATGGACAATTCAGCTACATAGTATTGATGGCTAGGACGATTTCAGGAATTGAGAAAAGTGTGTTTAATACTTTAATGACTGTGCTTTCCTAAAGTAGATGCTGAGACTCGAACAGGTTGAATTATGAGCCTGGACATCAACTACAAACCTGAAAACCTGGAATTTCTGGTAAACTTTACAACAGAACAGAAAAAGCTGATTGGCAGCGATACATTTAGACCTGAAGTGGTGTTAATGGGTGTCACCTTAATGTCCAGATACTCTGGTCATAGTATTTTGACAAACTTGACAAGGAAAAGCCATGAATGCATGTTTCACCTACAAAAGACTGCAGAAAGACATTAAGCAACAAATGCATCTGCCCTGTGCACAAGCAGAGGAATATTCCAATATATTCACGTCGATAATTTATTGTCATGTTGACAGTGGGGCCCTGTTGATGATGGTGTTAAAAAAAAAAAAAAAAAAAAACCCTAGGGAAAATTTAAATAAGCAAATATTGCCAACTGTCTAATATGTCACAGATTCTGTCAGTTGTTTAAAGAAATACATCACCTATGAAAAGACTTACAGTTGGGACTCATGTTGTGCTGCTAATCAGCTGCTCACAGACTTCATTTGGGTTTCTCATATTAAGATAACAAAGCTAACATCAGATATTAGTGAGAACATGGTCACTTCAAATCCGATTTGAGCGTGTAGTGTAACTCCACTGCCTGTCACTGATAGGTGATTTGCAGAAGGACTCAGGTGGTGCTCATCCAATTAACTGGCCGTGCAGCATCAGGATGCAAAATGAGGAACGTGAAATTGTCAATAAAAATGCAACTAAATTGATGTTAAGCCTTGACTCCTCTCAACCAGATGAGGTTTGTGGTGGCCCCAACCACAGAATCCATCATTAAGAACCCATAATTTGTTATTCTACACTTTTATGTTACATTATTGCCGCAACACCTGCACTGTCCTTCCTGTTTTTCTAGATGGGGCAATAATAAAAGAACTGATCGAGTAGATTGGCTCTTTATATTGGCTTGGAAGAACTACTGTTAGCTGGAATCCTAATTAGCTGGACATGCTAATGTTTGCAGCTTACATTAGAACAGATAAGCACATTTTATAGCCTGCTGTGCATGCTGTGTTGCTAAGATATGACTGGACAATTGCTTCAGAAAAATCAATTAATTTGATCTTTACAATGACACAGTATTTGAACGTGTATTGTGCAGAACTATTCATTTACCATCAACAATGTTAAATGCAGGCCTGTATTTCCAGTGGGCACACACACACAGGTGTGTGCATATCAGGGAGCTCAATTTTTTTTCCACAAGATCTGTTGTTGCCATGGCATTGCACTGCATTTCCTTACATTGCCATGGAAACACAAAAATGACTGGCATGGGGCTTTACGTGAAGTGGGTCAAGAGCATCTGAGTCAAGTCAAATAAAATGTATACAGCCCAGTATCATGTAAAATGTCAGGGCAAGAGTAACTGAACCAATCCAAAAAGACAAAGTATATTTTAAAAATCCTTCAGCACATAAGGAAATGAAAGGTTCATAGGCCCATGTTTAGACTGCATTTATGTCACGGCATCTTGCTGTTCTTTGAGCCACATTAAATTGTCTAACACTGGGGGCAAATTGTTCTCAGTTGTTCAGAAGAAGGAAGCACCTGACAACTGTGTTCTAAGACTATAAATGCATTGATTCAAGGAGCAAAATACAAAATGCATGCACTTTGAACAGTTTTTGGTTTTCTTTACACAAAATATTCCATACAAGTGCAGACAATGTCTTCTGCTAACAATATTCTCAAACTTGTTACTAAGAGAAACCTATTTCCTTTAAAACAGGATTTTAGAAGGTAACAGGCAATCCAGTTAAGACAAAGAATGACACAACATTTGAAAAAGCTGACACATGACTGAACCATGATGAAATGAAAGCCCTTTAATCTGCAATGGTCTTCAAACGTTGACTGGATGCAATCAATTTTTTGTGAGCCATTGGATAAATATGACTGAATTTACTGAATTGTTATGGCTCATTAACTTAGATTATAAACTTTTCATTCAAGGTCGCCATCAAGGAGTTTTGGGGTAGAACAGCTTTCACCCTCTACACTGGGGAGTTAGGCCCGCACCATCGTTGTGTGACTAATTAAATACTCATTATGATAATTTTTGATAAGTATTGTGTGGTTAAATAAACCCTTACTGTGCCTAAAAATGACAGCTTCATATACAGTATTAATACCAATGTGTTGATTTGGTGGAAGTATGGCTCCATCTGGTGGTTTTATATTACAGTATGTTCTATGCAAGTTGGTTCAGCACAATGAGTCTGTTTTACAGTAACATACAGTATATTCATGCACAGTGGGAACACTGTAGAGCTCCCTGGGTCTGTTGATCTATGCCTATCTCAGATACCTTATCAGTAACACGCTAGTTTCTTCTGCACATTATCAAATTCGCTTTTATATTAATTAATTTATTCGTTTATTTGCCCCTTTGGTGTCATACCTTCAAGATTTGACATTTGTTAAAAACACTTTTTTTCTTCTAATTATATTTTTAATTTCATTTTTCATTTACGCATGTTCACCCAAGGGGGAAATGGTCATGTCTCCTAAAAATTTTATTTAGTCCAGGAATTAGCACCAGTCTATTTTGTTGTGAACTACGTTTAATAATGTATGGACCACTGAGTCTCTAAACACAGTAATACTTTTGTTTTGTGTATTACTTGTGACAAAACTGGAGCAAGAAAGCAGGAAAATGTAGACTGATAAAAGTAATGAATAAATGCTGAAAAAATGATAAACATAAATTATATAAATTTTAAATATAATTTCTGTCCCAGAAGAAGCTTTTCAATATTCACATTTTCTTTTTGGAAGGGGCGGGGGGTAGATTATAAAATGACCACTTATTGTACACCCTTTGTTATGGCGTAGCAAGGTTCCGGTCTGTACTCCTGTAGTTTCTTCACAACTATCCACAAAAACTTATGATAGACCGTACAACCCAGACAAAATCCACGGTGGGGCCATATTTCAGGATCTTACGAGCAGCACTTGAAGGCACCACCCTGTCCTCTTTAGCATGTGTCACACACTCCTCTCGCCCGACTCAGCTCCCGTCTCCGGAGGGTCTGATGCTGATAGGGTGTGTCTGCTCGAGATAATGGGAGGTAAAGGCAGCTATATCAAGTAAGCCACAAGTAATCTGAACAATACCGGAAATTGCAAGAATTTATTTTCAAAATTAATAGTTTAGCACTTCCTGCTAATGTGTTTTTTTTCCAACTGGATATACAGAAAACAGTACATTGGAATACGAAACGTAGACATAATGATGTAAAAGAAAATGTAAGAAATTGCAGTGTAGACTATGTGGCAGACTATGTGCAGGCCAATCAAGTTTATCCCCACCAAACTGGGAACATGTCTTTATGGATTTGTGCACTGGGGAATTGTACTGCTTAAACAAGAGAAGACCTTCCCCAAACTGTTGCTATAAAGTTAGAAGTAGGCTACATCGTCTGAAATATAGGCGGATTGTATATTTGTATTAGATAAACATATTAGAGAAAATTGTAGAAAGTAAATATTGACATTGAACAAGAACAAGAGAATGTAGAATTTAATAATCAATAATAGCCTATAATCAATGTTAACGTTGGAAATCCATAAGTGAAAATGTGTCCGGAGCTGTCTTATTAAAACAGACAGGGATGGTAATAGCTATCTATCAAGCTAGCTATATTTTACTTTGGAAGTTGTGACCGGAATCGCTTGTTAAAAGTCCCGGATGCTTGACACTAACGGTAAACGCTCCCGCCTCTTCAGACACCTTGTAGACAAGAAGACAGCGCACTCATGGTTCATGTGAGGTGGTAAAATGCAGCTGAACAACTGGACGAGACTGGCTTTAATCTAACGACAAGTCTGGAAGAATTAGAGCCATGAAGAAACACCTGAGTCCTACAAAACAACAACAACAGCAACCACCGGCTGATGTCCCGGTTCCAGGCAGTGAGGTTACCGTCCAGCAACTCAACGAACTCTTGTCCGACGGCAGCGGCTTTTACAGCTTACCGACACAGCACTTCAACGAGGTCTTTCCCAGAATATACATCGGTAACGCGTGAGTCATTTATCCTTTCTTCAGATGTGACGAATGTTGTTGTCTGTGGCGGCGTTAGACACCGGCAGGTAGAACAGGTTCCCTGCCTGTCCCCCGAGCAGACGACACAGTGAGAGCAATGTCGCAGGGCGAGCTTGTCATATCGCTGTCACCGCACAACCGAAGCCAAAGCCTGTTGTTGTCAACAGATAACCGACTGTCCTCAGAATACCAGCCTGAACCAGTGTGTCTCAGTAGCCAGACAGGTGGACGTTGTGTTTCACGGCATCATAATAATATGAATAACGATCATACTGTGGCGGTATAATCATTCCCGTCTTTTTTGAATGGGGCGAAATTCACAATGAACGGATTCACATGTGAAGGACGACACAAAGACCTGTTTCAGTGAATTCCTCCGTCATTAGTATCAGTGCCATGTACTCGTGTCTTTATCAAGCCACTCCCCAGACCCTTCAGCTGGGCTGCAGAGCAGCAACAATTTCACCGTTTATTTTTATTCATAAATTACAAAAAAAAAAAAAAATTAAAACGTGGGCAATCTTGTGGGTTGCTGCAGAGCAAAGAGCATGTGAATTTTGTAGTTTTGAGTGGCAAGATGTTGTTAATACAAGTACAAATCTGGTGAGATGAACACAATAAACTAGTGCCAGTTAACACATCTGTTTAAGTATACACCATGGGCTAATTTTGACACAATGGCCCCTGGGCACAGACATAAAGGTTTCCCAACTCTCTTACAACGGAACAAAAGCCTCAGCCTGAAGAAGACCCCAAAATGATGTTATGCATCTCTTTAGGCCTTTTTCCATCAGCATGGTTCACATCATGTTTATCATGTGGTGCCAGGTGGACACATATTAGCCTTCATTTCTATTTGTTTCTAAAAGCAGGTAATAATCCCGCTGGCTTGGGTTCTACCCAGGGCCTAGTACAGAGTCGGCTCATCGGGGCGTGATTGGCTGAAATGTTGTAGTCTTATTGACCAGCATGGTGCAAATACCATGAAATTGTGTCATAATCACATAATTTGACAAATAAACAACCTGCTGTGTAATTTAATTCCAGCTCTAGATCACAGACACATATATGTACAGTGTATATACTGTTGTTCATGTATATTAACTATAAATCTATGCTTGTTGGCAGCTGTATAACTGTGGGTGGCCCACCCAGGCCCATCCAATCAGGTGTATACAGGTTATAAGGTGCAGCATGCATTTAACATGGTGTCGGGCCTTTTCTCTTTGTGTCTTGGTGCCAGTAATGCTGCGGTTTGTGGTAAAGTGCTGCTTTCACTAAGCTAATTGTCTTGGAAGAACCCAGCCCTAGTTTTTCCAAGCCCACCCACACTATGATTTCTGGCTCCGCTAGTGCTTGTTGCTTGACTGGGTATTGCTGGCTTTGTAAGGAACATGGTAACGCTTTAAGAATCAGCTTTGGGTTCCAGTAAAGCCAGTTCCTGTACAAACATAATAATGTTTCATTTGCTTGCATGATAAAGAGAGAAGCACGTGCACAAAATTCCTCTGCCCTTAATGTTAGTACACTCTTTTTGCAAATGTTATTTATGTCAGATGAAAAGTGCTTGTTGGTAACAGTATTTGGAAATATTTTACTTAAAAAAAACCGTGGCACCAGGGCTGGTTTTCTATCATACTGTTTAAAAATTAATGACCAAAATGTGTCTGTAGTGTTGAACACTGCACAATGTCAGGTGTCAAAAATTGGCATCAAAGGTTGAGTCAGATTATTACTATTATTATATGATCTATAACCTGACTGTTGCTGGATTTTTGGGGCTGATACTAGTATTGAAACTTGGGACTTTGGAAATAAAAATGACTGACAGTTGTTTTCATTATTGATGTATTTGCTGATTCCCCCCTCCCCCCTCCAATAACAGTTTGGTTGATTAATTGACAGAAAATAATGAAATATCAGTATCATTTTCTTTCAGTGATGGTACTGAATGTCCTGTTTTGTCTAACCAAGAGTCCAAAACTCAAATATTTAATTTGCACAGATGCATTTATTTACTTAAAACTTTTTTTTTAAAAAGATGTAAATGAGTGATTATCAAAATGTCTATTAGATTAATAAGTAGCAATTAATGTGGCTGATTTTCTTCCTATTTACCAATTAATTGCCTAAGTGTGGCAGCTTTATTAATACTTTTACAAGCACATACTGCAACATAAGAAAACAATCTTGGTACACAACCCTCAAAATTGTTTAAGATGCATATGTAGTGCAACATTTTACAGATTGAAAACCAACTTGTTGGGCCGATTTATCATCTTAGCTTTAATATGATCTGATATATCTAATTTCTTCCCTGAATAAAATCAGGAAACTAGACCATATTTTAATTTAAATTTGTGGGCTATCATATTGGCACAGGGATCACAGTTGTGGCAAAAATTCAGGAAATAGACCCTGAAATACAACAGGTGAGCCACAGGTTTGTACAGTGTAAAACAAAAAGAGAATAGAATTTTCAAGCATGTTTTGCTGAGTTGTAATGTGAAATAAGATCACGTCCAGGGATGCCCCTGAGAAACTCGGTGTCTGTGTGCAGTCCATCATTTGGCTCCAGCCCTTGCCAACGGGGGAAGGCTTGCAAGATGAAATACAAGCACATTACTGTTCCTCGGTGCGACAACAAAATCAATCTGATTATGCCAGTCTGCCCAGCCGAGTTTCCAAACAAAGTGCTGGCAGTCCGGTGCTTAGCAGGAGCTGATCACACAGCACTGTAGGTCTCAGAGAGGGACTCTAATGAGCTCTCTGCTTTGTGGTTACTTCTGAAGAGCAGGCTTTGATGCCTGCTGAAGAAATTATGTTCACAGATTATGTAGACCAGAGTTTCAGTAATCACTGAAAGCAGCCATTAGTGGACTGTTTTACTATCAGAGTGTATTATAGTGTGCCCAAACAATTTGAAAGAGCAGTGTAATGTAATGTGATACCACAGATGGTTCAGGCAGGGCGAGCTGGTATTGATTATCGATTAAAACCTGGACTTGTCCACTGTTTCCACCACAGGGACCTACTAAACCTGCTGATGTATCCTGTTAGTTGTACCCTGTTCCAGTTTTTGTTTAGTTGACTGGCAAAATAAAAGCAAATACTTCAGTAGAACATATACTGCACATTTCTTTTACATGTCAACACTCAAATTAGAAGAAACTGTCCCTGAAAACATTCATTAAACTTTCTAATTGTAGGGTCCCCCAGGAGTTAGGCCCCAAATATACCCTGTAGTTTAACAGTAGAGTATAAATCGCTGATTTTTCAGGTCATGACACAGTTAAATATGGTTAATAATTGTTCATTTGTGAAAATGTGTGAAAGTGTAAAAGCCAGCATATTCTTATATCCTGTTATTTCACCTGCTGGTGGATGTTTGGTGTGGAAATACTTACAGCCCCTCAAAACTCAAAGCACAGCAGAGGTCCATGTGGACTCAAAGACATTTGTAAAGGTAGGACAGTGTCACATTTCTGCAGCTGACACTCAGGCAGATGGGTTGCTTCATTCCTCCTCTTATGGCCATAAAGCAGAGAGGATTTTTTATGAGTTCTTGCAGAGGGGGCTTTGCAGCCACTGCCTCTGGGGAGCTGTCCAGGATCACCTAGCCTCTCCTCACCAGCCTCATAATGACTGTAAGCAGATATAGTGCTGACGGGAAAAAGCATTTTATGTGGAGATTTACAATTTCTGAGTCTGAATACAAGCAAAGCAAATTTAGAGGAGATACTTAAAAATGTTTTAGAAGAATATATTTTCTGCTTATAGCATAACTTTGCCAGTATACAGCTCACCACAGCTTTGGTGTGATTCCAGTTTTGAGCATCTTTCATATAATAGTTAATCTCTTTTAGGTTTTGATGCATTGAGCAGTGAAAAAGATGAGCCTCAGGAGAAAGGGCTGGCAGATGTCTTTATAGCATGTAGAGAAACAATATGGAGCCGTTTTTGATGACAGAAATGGTCTCCAGCTAGTTAGTGACACTAAATGCTCCATAAGGCTTTAATTTAATATGTACAAAAGGCATTTTATTTAGAATCAACGGGCAGCACCTTCAGCCAGGCAGTATCGTAACAGTGCAGACGGGCAGACGGGCATTCAGCCAGGCGAAGCGCAGCAGCCGGGTCTCTTATTCCTTTGTTCCCGTCTGGTTGCTCTTTACAGCACAGGCCTAATATGAGGTATTGTGGTTCTTAAAGACCAGGTTTATTAGAGCAGAAGAGAAGCAGAAAGAGATGGATTGTTTCCTGGATGTTGAGTGGATAAAGATGGAGGTGGAGCTGAGAGAGCATGTTTTTAGTTCTGCTTAAAATGAGTTCATGCCACAGATGTAAAAATTTTCTTTGCATATTAAGTTTTTTTTTGTTGTTCATTTTTTACTTCTCTAAAATCAATCTTTTTCACTCTCAATGTTTCCCTGCTTACATTAGTCCCCCTTTCCTCTTCCTCCCTTCCTACCTGAGTGACTGTTGTTACTCTTTCAGATCTTAGGTTGCATTCACATTACCAGCCTTCATGCTCCATTCTGATTGTTTTGTGTTGATGGATCACATTCATGTTTGTAAGCGTCATGTATCCACCTTCAGTTTCAACACTTTTTAGGTCCTAAACTGCCATGCATGCATAGATTTAACAGAAATGTGAGCCACATGCCTCAAGAATAACAACAATAATGTCATTTGTGCAACTGTCAAATCACATAATTTTCTCAAAAAGTGCTCAGTTGCAATATGCTCCTTTGAGTTGTTGTTCCCCTTGTTGCTCTCCTCCGTGTTTACTTTTAAGGGCCGACAAGAGCAGCGATGACAACAGGCGATGGGTGCAGAGGAATGAGACACTTAAAAAAATAAAATAAAAAAAACATGAATTTTGATCTGACAGCATTCACATGGTCAGATATGGTTCTGATCTAGGAAAACATATGGAAGTGGCCCAGATCTTACCGTCGCATTTGAACAGTACATTGATTTATAATTGTATCTTGAGTGACTTTTAAGTAACAACTGATAAACTGTACTGACACACTGAAGAAGATATTTTAGTTTGAACACAGTTTTGAAGCAACAACATGCGGAGCAGCTTCTGCATCTCTCAGCAGGTACAGCAAGTATCCAGCTCTGTATTTAAAGATGCTGTGATACTGCCAGCACAGTGTTTATTAGAGTAGCTGTGAAAAGATGCAACCTATGCTGTCAAATTATCACTTTAAATAAACTGTGCTGACACAGTGTTCCTGATGGAAAAAGTGTATGTCAGGTGTTTTTGTTAATGCTGATGTTTGTCTGGTTCTGTTGCTCCATCTTCATCAGTTATTGTTGTGAGAAAACCCGAAAGTTTTGTTTCACCATGTGCACGTTTTTACTGGTGTACAAACTTTGTTTCAGTGCAGCGGACCTGTCACAGACATCAGCGACTTGCTCAAGTGATAAAATTGTCCTTTTCTATTCTGATCCTGAATCTCATCTCGCCTACAGGTTCGTAGCCCAGAATGCAATGCGTCTGCAGAAACTCGGAGTGACGCACGTCCTCAATGTGGCGGAGGGTACCTCCTTCATGCACGTCAACACCAGTGCGGAGTTCTATGCCGGCACAGGCATCACATACCATGGCATCCAGGCCAATGACACGGAGCAGTTCAACCTCAGTGCCTTCTTTGAGGAGGGGGCTGATTTTATTGACAAGGCCCTAGCACACAATAATGGAAGAGGTGAGTCTGGTTTGACGTTTGAAATGTGGAGCTGCATATAAGGGAAGGCTCCACTCCAGCCATACATTTTATTATTTTGGGGTGTACGATTGGTCAGTCTGTTGCGCTAATTGGCTAAATGTTAACAGTGGCTAGAATCAAAATTTTCATATTAGAACTGAACCTCATGAATTCACTAACTAATGAATATCTCTGCACTGCTGCCAGGCTGTTCACTGGGTCTGGGTCACGTAACACCTCTCCACATTAAGATATGTTTTGAAGCATATTTCATCTAAAAAATGTTAGAAAATAGTTCCATACTGTGGCTTAAAAAGCTGATAATTTATTGGTGCTTGTTTTCACTGGCACCATTTTAGATTGGTTCTCCAGTGTGAGATACTATAGACTCTTAGAAAAGGTTATATTTTTGTCCATCTTCACCAACCATCACTCATACAGTAGAGCATGTAACAACCTCCACTAGTGGAAAGTAGACTAGTGGTGGTATTGCTGTATCACTGTAGCCAAAATGACCATTAACTTGAACTGAATATCATATCTTATTAATACATGCACCTAAAACAGACTCTGTCTCAGTATGCTTCAGCCCTGTGGATCGTAAAGTAAAGAAAGGAGATGAGTATCTCAGGCTAAATCTGACACACTCCCGAGCCCTGCTCCATATTCATTATCAGATCATGTCCCTGGACGTCAACATTGTCATAATGTTCCACTTGTAATGCACTTGTAGTCCATCACCTTTTTTGCTAGAGTAGCTTTGTTATGTTAAACAAGGGACATGACAGTTTGGTGTTTCGTGCACTGAACCCTGTGTATTAAGGCAGGGATTTATTGTCCACTTTGACACAGAAAGGCATCTTAATTCCTTGTCTTTTTGGCAAATGGCGAACCAATACTATGGTGAATGTAACAAGGGAATGTAGAGGAGGAAGAGGAGGAATTGTCTCCCCTCTGCCTGCTGCCTGGTCTTGCTGTAGTCAGACACTGTGCTATGTGCAACATTAGCTTTGACATTTTGTGACCTCATGCTGTGAGCTCTGAAAAGGTCACAGGTTTTAATGAGGAACTGCACTGATGCATTGTTCCTGAGTCTGCTGTAATGATGAGATGAAGTTACAGTATGTTTACAGGCTCATTGTGCATACTTGCCATTGCCAGGATGTTTTGTTAATTTTATTTGTTTTAATGCCTTAGAATAGTATATCTGACTGTGTGTTTTTACAGGTTTTATCATCAGTTTGTTTGTTAGACTAAATGAGAGGGTGTTATGGATTTATTTGTATAGTTTGTACCTGTGTTATTTGTCGTGGTTGTGGTTGGCTGTCTTGACCAGTACACTCTTGAAAAGGGGATTTTTAATCTCATTGAGATTTTTCTGGTAAAATAAATAAAAGTATTGGTAGAAGTGATCAAAATGATCCACATGTGAAGTTCAAATTTAAAATATGTAATTTGGAGTGACATATCACTTCACATCAATGATCACCAACTCTACAGTTTCCCTCAGCTCTACCAAGCCTTTTGGCATCTTTTAGCGCATGGATTTTGTTTCATCACCAGTAGGCAGCTGATAACGTCGATCTTTAGCCACTGGATAATTTGATGCTTTTCACCTACTAACTTTATGAATCAAAACATCTGCTTCATGTCGACTGGAGTCTGTGGGCTGAAAAGCCAAAACAAAGAGCTAAAAGTGGCTAAAATGCTGCGTAGAGCTGAGAGCAACTGCAGAATTGGGTGATAATTCTCTGTATGCTTCCTGTCCTAACAGACAAAGTTGGCACAAGATGGAGAGCATAAAGCATTTGGCATCAAGAGTTAAATTTGCATTCTTCTGCTGGTGTTGCATTCGGTTGTACACATGAATACTGGTGGAAGTTGTGTGAAGAAAGGAAATCCTGTGTACTTTATAACAATCACACATCTGAGTGTATTGGACTTGAGAAAGAGTGAGTGAATGTTTGAGCAGTAAAAAACATAAAAGCAAAGAGAGGAAGAGAAGGAAAAAGGTGAAAACTAGTGTGATGGACTAAGAAACTGAGTGAAGCCATGAAGTCAAAGATCCTGTGTGTCTGACAAGAGGACAAGGCAGAGTCAACATCGATCTGTGGCAGGCAGGCTGATTAGGAGTTGAAGAGGTGAGTTCATTGGCAGAGGGCTGTTCTGGGTGGAGTATAGAGGGGCAGAAGAGGGAGATGTTGGGGATTATACTTGGAGAGGGACACAGATAGATGCAGGGATTTAAATAAAGTGCAGAATCAGCAGATCTGGCCTGAGCCTGGAACATTTGCTGCTGTGTGAAAGTTGCCAAGTGAAATCCCTTGTGGGGCTTCGGCTTCTCTGCAATCTAAGTGTACACAAGTTAGATAGAGACACATCTTAGAAGGGAAACACAAGACAAACTGACATGAAAATAAATACACATTCAGCTTGTATTCTGCACACACAGAGCATAGATTTGTTGCTGTATGTGGGATGTGGGTACAGTAGAGATGACTGACTGTGCAGCAGAGGTCAGATGTTGTATTTGCATCACCTGGCACAGAAGATGCTTTGCAGGCAAGTTTGGTCAGAGGACAAGTTCCCCAGCCACCCTTTTCTTTTATTTGTTTTGTCTTTCTTTCCTAAGTTTTCTTCCTCTGTTTTTTGTTCTTCAAACTTCAGGTAAAAGGTCACCATCTTGTCCATCTTGTATGTTTTTCATACAGTATTACCTTCTACTTTTAACATTTCCACATGGTTTTGTAAAGAGACAATGCAATAATCTTTGTTGGAATGAACAGGCTTTTATCTCAGCACTGCAGACAGGGAAGGGAAGTCAGCAGGTACTGAGGAGACTGACACAAAGTTGGTCTTTTAGTGGCGTTTGTTGGCAATAAGATATAGATACTTTAACTTCAAAGTCTCAGCATTTCCTGTGGCATAGATTTTCTGTTGTTCTGTAAATCCATCCTTTCACCACAAGTAGCACTTATCTTATTGTTCTACTTCTGTACCTGTGTCCTCCAGGGAAGGTGTATGTACACTGCAGAGAAGGCTACAGCCGCTCCCCTACCATGGTTGTTGCTTACCTCATGCTGCGCCATAAAATGGATGCCCGACTAGCAGTGGCCACTGTGAGACATAAGAGAGAAATTGGTCCTAATGATGGCTTCCTTCGCCAGCTGTGCCAACTAAATGAGAAGTTGGCAAAGGAGGGCAAGCTGAACGGGGAGGTGGGCAAACTAAAGACCAAATGAAAGCAGGAGTAAATATTGAGAGACTTTCTGCCCTGTCTCCTCTCATCACGCCTTTCACAGGCTTCAGCTGCTCTCGGAGGTTAACCCCACCCTGACCAAACCAGCAGCCATCTGACACACTGGGGGTATTCTGACACACAAACATACATGCATTTACCTGTGTAGATAAACATTCCTCATACATAAAATGTACATGATGATTCTTTCTGATCTTCAGTCCACATCTGTCACTGTCACAGTTTTGTCTGCTCCTACAAACAACGTGATCTCAAAAACTTAATACTAACAAAAGCCTAACCCCCCTTTTTAACTCTACACCTCACACAGATGTTTAGCTGCTAGTACCTGAAAGCTCTAAATTTCAACTGAGCTTAAAGCATTCCTTGTATTCCCACAAGGTGAAAACTTCGCCCTGATAGCCTGTTTATATATACACAGTATGTATATGTATGTATATATATGTATGTATATATATGTATGTATATATATGTATGTATATATATATATGTATATGTATGTATATATATATGTATGTATATGTATATGTACAAGATTATAGCACAATCATTCCATAGTCTTTCACTGCCGGGAATATCAGTGATGTCTCCGCCAGCAGGAGTACTCTATAAACTCCTAAATACTGAAAGTTGATATTGCAACCTGCAAGCAAAAGAAGTCAAATGTATATAGAGTGATATGTGAATGGATGGAGGAAAATCCCAAACATTCCCCCCAGTTCTTAAAATTCTTTATCTACTATCTGTAGGGGCAGATATTTAATGCACAAACTGTTCACACTCTGATGCCTCCAAATACACGCTGCATCTCTCTGTAGCATTTTAATCTGCATCCTTGATGCTTTGGTCTCTAGTTTGACAGTGGTACCCGGTTGTTCACACACAGCGGTGCGGTTAGCAATACCTGCACCAACATCATCAAAGGTCAAGCTAATTAAGAATAATGAGCTGCGTAGTTTGTTCCTGTAGCAGGCATATTTAACCCCGATAGGAGTTTTCATTAGAGCTAAATATGACAACATTTTAAGCTTGTTATTGAGGTGGGTCAGCTTCTACACAAGACAAACTACATTTAGTTCAGGATGCAGTTCTGGGACAGCAGTCTGAAGGAAACATTAGATTGAACAGCATCTTAAATTATATTTTAGGAAGGCATTCTTTTTTTCTGTTTTATTGCACACAGCTACAGTATTGTATGTTGGGCTACGAGTGCTGCCAAAACACGGTGTCCTACGTTCAATACTGTGCCTGAACGTACTCTGTGCAAACACAGATGGAGAGCTGAAACTGCTGCTCTGCTAACTACTGACTCTGCTAATGGACGCAGTGTTGGAGTGACATTTTCTAATGTTTATGTACTCACTACAAGATTTTAATAATACTCCTATATTTTCTGAACAATAGAAAGGCTGCTAAATCTCTTTGTCCTTTTTTGGATGGCGCATTATTTGTCCATCATACCCAACATCGGGTCAGGAGAGGGAAGAACAAAATCAGCTAAGGCCATGTTCAGACTTTTCTACAAGAAAAACTACAGCTGCCTCGTTGATTTGAATGAGGCCCATCCGGCATGGCAGCTGGGGTGAACTCTGTAAGGAGAGTGGGGTATTTTTATTGATTGTCATGGTTTACAGAGAAAATCCTTTTCAGTGTGTTGGTATGTGATAAGACTTTACATTCAGGGATCTATTTCATTTCTCACTGGTACCTGAAGCAACAAGGTTTTGTTTTGATGCTGGGTTGTTTTCGGTCTGGATGTCTGCTGTGTGGACATACTCTCTGTGCGTCCCACTCGAAAGTTCTCCAGTAAAACAGGAAAGAGATTTGTTGTTGTACTATACTAATTAACACTTTCCTTAATAAATCCATATGTACATCAACATAATCACAACCAGCCTACTGCACCAGTTGACCACTATCAAACTAGAGGCCTTAGTTTTAAACTGTCAAATGCATCTCTGCCACAGCAGGATGTTCCGGTCATCATGCCAGAGAGTTGTCCACTGCCACTTCCCTAACACAGCCATTCGGGCAGCATCCAATATCACTGTTTCATCAATAGTTTGTCAGAGGTCCATACACAACATGTCATGTGTCTCACTCCTTAGTGTGTGTCATACAGTAATGCTTGACTTTATGAACACACAGGGTCAAATCACAGCCTTTTTGTTTGTATGTACTAAAACATTGCAATATATGTCAATACACAATCAGATATATAGAATGTAACCACTACAATTATATAAATATGAAAGACACTGTATTTAATACTGAGCATAATACTGTAAACTAGGCCTAGCACCAGGAAGGATGGTGAGGGTGTGTTTTTAAAACCTGCACCAGGTCACTCCTCAAGAGTGAAACCGTTTGAGAAAGTGTGAACTAACTTCATGTTTGCACACTCAGAAAAGAGCGCAGGTAGTTCAGTCACTATGCCCCACACATCAGACTGCGTACGTCTCCTGAGTACACCGCCCAGGGCATGTTGGTGTGAATCAGGGGGGCTTGAGAAGAACATAAGAACTAGGATGTCTCTCCTCATTAATGGAACTATATATTCCTTTTTTGATATATCTATACACATATGAATATATACATGTATACTGTATATACATATTTACTGTAAGTGTTGACATATATGAATGTAAGAGCAATGTGTATAATGTGTAGGTATTGTCAAGTCTCAAATCATATATGTTGTATATGCCATCACAGAAAAGTTCCTCCATTTTCCTGTTTCACAGTTGATTACATGTACATTAATATTCAAATATGATGTGCATGTAAAATGTTCTGTGTAATTGTGATATATCATTATCACAATTGTGCAACACTTGCTGGTGTTTTTTCAGGCTTAGCTGGGATACTGAGGTGTGTAGCCATCACATTTACTGGCGTTTTGTACAGTTTCACATTTCCATAATGCACTAATTTATTCATAACATTCAACAAGATGCAGGTGGAAGCATAAGATGCAGACTTAGTGCATACATGTCATGTCCAAGTCTACGTTCATACTGTCATCTGTTCATAAATATTTAAAGGCCTTCGTTTCTTTCTTGACAGGAGTTCTTTGGATGAGAATGAAGTTATTCCAGCTACACTTTCGATGCAATTTCAATGCAGTATTTATCAGAAAATGATACAAGGAAAGTGGTTTGTAAACAGGCTGCAGACTCTGCTAGGGAGAGCTGTTCAGTCATTAACCTGTGGACCCATTTTAATTGGCCTTGTGTGTTTTGGGCACATGAAATACAGTAGATACAGATCTAAATGCAGCATAAATGTTATCGACTACTGTCAAATATAGGAGGTTGATGATTAATCCATTAATTGTTTTGTCAACCAACAGAAAATTAATCTGCACGATAACTGATTTGTCATTATTTTTTCAAGCAATAGTGCTAAAACTGATGGCTCCAGTTTCTCCAGTGTGCACATTTGTTGCCTTTCCTGTCTTATTTTATAGTAAATTGAGTTTTGGACTGTTAGTCAAACAAAAAAGCAGTTTCATTACAGCACCTTTGGCTCTGGGAAATTATTTTCTGAGACTTTATAGACCAAACATCTTACTGATTAATTGAAAAAAATAATCATCAGATCAATTGATGACAAAGTTCATTGTTAGTTTCACCTCTGAGTAATCCTGTCAAATGTGTATAACCAATGTGAACATTTAGAGAAGTGTCCGTGGGAAAAGGTAATCAAGATTTCCATAAATACAGCCAAAGAAGCCATTTCAGCACTCTGAACTCATAAATTCTACTCTTAAAATCTGTCCAGTGGTGCTGTAGTCTCTAACTCCTTATTGGCCAGGAGGAAAGGTCAGAGAAGGCAATATTCTCATAGGGAGTTGGAATCAAGGGCAAATGTTGCTGAATGAGGATAGGAGTGCAGTTGTGATGTCTCTTGTGGCTCTGTCATTCCCTGATTCTGAATCCGATCTCAGTGCTGGTTGTTCCTGTCTACGCTGACACCTGTCATTTAGTCTTTTCATGCACTTGAATATGTTCCAGATCTGTACAACATAACACTCAGGGGTGCAAACTAGCCCCAGCTAGTGCCCCTCATGGTTTAGCATATATTAGAGTCACAGAGGTAACCACCAGCTTCTGTAAAAGTGAATTAACCAGTGATGTTTGAAAGGCCCAGAGGGTTTAAAACACTTAGCACTGTCCTGGAGGTTGCTCCAGAATCACCACTACTTGTTTATCCCTCTGGTCCTGTGCTAACTGACATATCCATACTGAGCAAACCTTACAACTTTGTGGCGACCCCCGTGTCTTTCGACTTTTTACGGACTTCAGCTACAGCCTGTAAGTAAAGTTTGCAATATGTACATGGAGCAAATGATTCGTCGTCGTTATTACTGGAATGCGAGTGACTTGACTTCTGACACGTCTTAGGTGGCAAGTTGCCCGTGAAGGCGGCGCGTATGCACGCAGCGGCCCGGGACCCCTCGGCTCCAAACAACATTTCCTTGTAAGTGTCACAATGTTACAATGACAATAAAATAAAGCTTCTAAGCTCAGTTAGCGGACTACCGCGTTTAGCCGGCGTTGTTCGTTGCTGCCCCGCAGTACACATCAGTTGAAGCTAACGTTACTTCCATGACTTAAATTGAAGCAAGGCTGCAATTAAACTTCATGTTATACAGCTTGTGTGCTTTCTGAAAACCGGTGTGGAAACTGGGTTCTATACTACACTCTGTACTTTGCTAAAAATTGGTTAAGTAGTTCCACAAAAAGTCTTTCCTTGTAAAACAATCTCCTGATCGCCATGACGTCCAGTTGAGCAGTCAAGTTCTCCACAAAATGTCATTCTTCTCAGTAAATCACGGAATTCACAACCGAAAAGCTGGAGACCTTAACCCGTGAGAATGACTTACTATCAGAACTGTGTGAACTTTTTTCATAGGCATTTCCTGTGTTTTGTCATTGTCTGTCACTTTTGGATCAGTTTGCACCCCTGACACCTAAATTTCGCACATCTCATGAGCGCTGCTGTCTCTTTTGGGAAGTGTTTGATGAGGTGAATCATTTGCACTACTGCAAAGTTGAGACATTTTCAAGAATAATTTAGTGCATGTGCCACACTGTATTTCCCTAGCATCTCATCATGAGTCCCAAATCACTCAACAGCAAAGTCTAACCTGTTGAATATTTAATTTAAAAAGAATATACTGTGGTCTACAGACAGAGAACTGCTTACCTCTGGTCCCTCACGCATAATACATTGAGAGCATCTGTGCCAAGTGACTTGCCGTTTTGTACAAAAGCTGTTTATACATGTTTGTTATACAAATGGACTGGGGCTTCACTCATTTAAATATTTGCATATGTTCCACAATACTACCCTCTTGCCGAATACACAAAAAGCAACAACTAACTACAC